GGCACTTTCTGTATATACTAGTCCATGTTTCTAAAAGAACAGTTTTTGAGGCATGTTATCCCTTACTTACTCTAAAAGGCTCGACTTTACAATATGTGTTACTTCAAATTGCATTGCTGAAATGATCAGTCATTGCTTTTTGCCTCATGAAAACAAATCAGAGTTCCTGGGTTGGTTATTTCCCAAGGCCTGTCCTAAGCCTTTACTTCCTCTCATCTTGGATTAAAGCAGAGTTGCAAACACTTCCCTCTGACTTTCTCTTTGTTTCTGAGTGCTGTGCTGGTGAAACAACATTCATCTTTTTCTAGATTTGTGGACACAACCAAAGGTGATATTGGTAATATACCTAAGTAGTCTATACTTGAGCAATGACTATATTATAAAGAACAAGGGTAACTAACTGCAATAAAAGGAACACTAATCAGACAAACATAGTTCCTTGGAAAGTTTTACACTCTCCACCTCTAAATAACTATTTTATTGGGTACAGAATGCCAAAGAGTAAGACAGCTGCAAGGTTATGAAAATATATCTGAGGAGGCTTTTTTTTATGTCTTTTGATACCAAAATGTGTGCTTCTCCATGATGATATACATCACTAATTTTAATTATAAACTACCACTCCTTACAAACGGCTTTCCTCTTCTCAGCACTAAGATTCTAATATGCTTCTCCAATTATATGAATTTTTATCTTAGAATTGATTTTACAAGGTAAACATCAAAACTGCCACAGGGTGGAGTATTTTATCAATTATTTTTACTGTCCAATAGGGTAAAAAGACATGGAAACAAATGGAAGTCTGCTGTCAATTGTTTATATTATATTGTCATTGTGTTGCCTAGCATCAATGAGGGTAATCAGCCAATTTCCCTAATCACCAAGTAGGTTTCTTATTCCCATTATAGAGAGACAAAGTAAGCTTGACTTAATGAAGAAATAACCAGTTTAAATAAAAATGTAAATTCTTCGGAATGCCTTTTAATGAAGCCAACTCCCAATGTTAAAAAATATTACTGAACCAAAAGATATTTTCAAGTAGCCTTATTACCCAGATAAAATTAGGTATAAGGAAATCGGCTCCAATTTGAAATGAATTTTAAAACAGCACACGACCCCCTCCCCTCCCCCCACAAGACCGCAATACAAAATAGTCCTCTAAGGAATATAAACATTTAGTATATAAGAATGTGAAACTACATGATAAGAAAAAAAAAAACCTCAATTAACTAAAATTTACTTGCTAAAGATTATTTATTGCACAACATATCAGTTTATCCTAAGAATAAAACAGATATTATTATTCTCAACTTTGAAATTCAGTACATAGTCAAATCCATTTTTTAAAACTAAAGTTCTGTAGCATTATATTATGAGTAACAAAACCTTTGTTATTGACCTAGGATAGGGAAAACCTTATAACTTATAAAACAAATTCCTTAAGAGTTCATGAAACCATTTCACAAATCCTAGAAGGCACACATTATATTTCCTATCATAGTAAGTGCATTTAAGTACTTCATAATTAAAAAAGACAAAGCTGTACAGAATACAAAAAGGGTACATTCCATCCATTAAACAAATTTACAACTTTTATGATCAGTTATTACAGTACAACATACCTAACATTTACATCTAAAGAATTACCACCCAGTTTAATGGAGTGAGCAAAAAACTATGCTCATTTATTAGATAAGGCTAATGAAAACATTTTCTACTTCACAGTAGATCAGTTAGTATCTTGGAGCTCGTACTGGAAAATAAAAAGGTTTGGGTAATATCAAGTTACTGTGCTCACTATTAAATAATTCCTTGAAAGGTAAAGGATTCTGAGGGATGAAATCATTAGCTATATTTGGAAAGATCCAAAAATCTGTGAATCAACTTTGTTCATTTTCAGAAACATCCTTGCATTAGGCAATCTACATTAGACTCAGCAAGTGTACTCCAAAAAGACAATTTGAAATCTTAGAGCTGAAAAAGATCTCACAGGATCATCTATCCTGAGGTTTTCAAAATATGTTTCATGGAATACTAACAATCCATGGAGGAGATTCAGGGTTCTGCAAATTTGACTTGAATTTAATTTAAAAAATATAATTAATTAAAAAAACATGTCCCATCATACAACTGTGTTACTTAACCAAATTCTAATAATATCCTGGGTATCACTAATACATTAATACATGTTTTCTTTGATTGAGTTTATAATATTTAATATTATAGTATGTGAACTTTATATAGGAAATTTATATTAATAAAATACGACATAGTGGTGTAGGGTGTGTGCATGTGCACACACGCAACACATGTATATGGGTTCTGGTAAGATTTTACTTGGAAAAAAAGATTCTACTGCTGAAATAAAGTGTAAAAACCACAGATAAAGTTTCACTTTCTAAAATATGAGCCTACAAGCCACAGGAAGGAACTTTCTCAAGGTCACTCAACCAGAAAGTGCGTTGCCGGGTTGATATGATACAGCCCCTAGTACGCTGCATAAATACTTATAGTGTTTAGCTATTTGGTAGTGAGCCATTCCCATCATGAATGTCAACCAAGTAGTTATCAGTATTTTGGGGTAAAATCAAGCTACCTTTGGTAAGGCATTTTTCCTAGAAATAAATCATTTAATTTGCATGCCTACTAAAATCCCAGTATCCAAAAATTCTGCCATCAATAAGCAGCAACTTAAATTGTATATTTTGGTACTTCAGAAAATAATATTTTCAACTTACCAATAATAAATCAGGAAAGTTACACGGAATGTTAACATACTTTTAAAAGGAGACATCTGGCCCTAGTTTTATTATATGCTGAAATATTAATTTTAATTTTAACATAAAACAAATTTTACTCT